TGTTTGAAAGCAAGGTAGGAGTTGAGAACTCCTTATAGCTATAGCCTACATTTTTCCCACTCTCCAACATGTCCTATCACCTCTCATCCCATCTGCTGTCAACTTCATACCAGTCTGGTTTTATTTCCAGTGTTTACAGATCATCCAAACCCAATCCAAGTCCAATCTGAGTAAACATGATCCAATCTGGTTCCATTGCATGTGTTCCACTTTATCTACTTTAGCTTATTCTATCCAATTTAGCCTTATTGAGGTTGTTCCTCCCATAATACCCCTCTTTTCTTTCATTACCTACAAGGTTTTGACTTTTCTTTTCTTACATACTCATCCTACATCAATCCTACATGTTTACCTAGGGTCGGATTGCCTTTAACAGTCTTGGGTTATGCCCAGGACTATAAAACTATATTTTCTGACATTAAATAGGATCAATCTCCATTCAGGAGATCACCTGTCTACTCTCCTGTGTGTGAGTGGGCTGGATATCATTCCACATCCTCTGTTTTACTTCATCTCATCACTCTCTCACATCTCATTGACTCAATCTATCCTTTTATCACCTTGACTCCATCCAGATACCTTTACATCAATCACCTTTCATTCCAGATTGCTCAGCAAGCTCTAGGACACATCAACAAACCCTTATCCATCAATCCCTTCTAGTATAACCTCCCTTGGGATGAACCTATTACCCCACTTTCTCACTCTCACCCACTATTTGTTTTTCTATAGCAATATGGACAACTTGAAGGTTTATGAATGAGGCACCTGTATAATTGGGCAGCCAGGAATAGGTAAAGATATACCTTTCTAAATGAGGGATTCATACTCATCTCATAGGGAAATCCTGCTTCATCCCATATCCAATCATTGAACAACTGCAAAAGAAACAGCCCATTGCTGTTGATGTCTCACATTGGGAGAAGTCAGTTGACAGATACTTGTTGTTCAGTGAGGATGGTGTCTCTATTCACCACAGCTTGTATAGAGAACCTTTGATACTATGAAATCCAGACATATGGGCATTTTCAGATTCCAATGCAAATGTCTCTATCCCCATAGGCATCTTTAGGCATGTGCCCTACATCTGCACATTTCAAGTTACTTCTCCTCAGGAAGCCCACTATAAGGAGTGGACCAAGCAAGCTCACATCTCTTGTTATTATATGGACCTTCCATCTGAGAAGGATATAGAAAAAACTTCATGTATGTTCATTTCCTTGTCATTGCACAGCCCATCCAAGTAACATGTACCTTAGCCTCATTGGAGACAGGGACATCAAACACATGAACACCCTTGCAGAGAAATGGGGCTCTGTCCTGTGCACTTTGGAGGATACCAAGGATATTTCGACCACCTTGAACAAAGCTGAACCAAGCACAACCAAAGGATCATCCACAATCTCTTTTATCCACCCCCTGCTCTTGTATTAATCACTATGAGTGGGAAATGTTCATTCCAACCACCTGGCTTCAAGACCAGGTGATTGATGCACTCACTATATGTGTGGGGAGAAGAGTGACCAATTCAAGTTGTACAGTGCGCTCCTTAGTTCCATAGACAGTCACAAAGCCATTAGTGGAATTTTCGAAAGGATAGTACATTAATATATTCCCAGTGTCAATCCATTGCCTGTTCACTGGTACACTGATGGGAATTTGGAACCTGCCACTATGGCAATCTCCAGTCATTGCCAGCCAAACAGGATCCCCAATTGGCTCCCTTGCCTTGCTATTGACATCCAGATTAGTCCAGCTCTCCTACCATTGATTGTGCCATTCTCACTCAAGACTGTGTCTATGCCATCCAGGTGACGATTGTAGCGATGATTTTAAGAAGTCGGGTATTACGAAAACTCGGGCAAGTCTGAAGGACAGACAACCACTGCTGCAAGACTTCCTAATGATTGGACACACGGCACAACAAACAGAGCATGTCACAAAGCACCTGATTGATGAGATGAAGAAGGCCGAGGCGAGCGACCTTCGTGTTGGGGCAGTCACTTTGGAGTCCAATGTGGTCAAACGCCTCCAAAGAAGAAGCCTTGGATACGTCCTAAGTATGATGTTCCGACTGTAAGCTAGTTGGACTTGTAGAAATACTTATTGTACCGTATCAGAGAACGTTGAGGCATTCAGCGACAATGTAACTAGTACTGCTTCTATCTTTCCATTTCCCCAGTCGCATTGCTCGTGGCTAATGTATCCTGGACGGAGTTGGACCTGTGACACGGCAATATTACGGATGATTTCGTTTGTCTCGAGAATTCTCACTCCACCCCCTGGAATGCCACCAGGGTTGGCTTGCTACACCCACCATGGCAGCTCTGAGTAACATTCTCCACTACATTGCTCCTGCAAACCTCCTTGCTTCGCTCCACCTCCGTCAACACCGAATCACACTTCGTCATGTCCTCCTCGCACTCGGCATCTCCGCCGTCCTCTCGACCCTCTACTATGCATACCTCAGTCGAAACAGCGTTCTTTTCTCTTCCGAGGACGTTCCGTTCTGGCCCCCCGAGACGCCAGAAATTTGGGCCGAACGAGCGGCACAGGTCAAGGAGGCGTTCCGACACGCTTATCGTGGGTATGAACAACATGCCTTCCCCCATGACGAATTATTACCCATGTCCAACGAGAGCATCGACAAGTGAGTCCATAACTCACAAGGGGGAAGACATGTCTTCCGTTACTGATCCGTATATCTAGTTTCAATGGTTGGGGTGTAACGGCCGTGGATTCTCTCGATACAATGTTGCTCATGGGGTTGGAGGACGAGTTCGCGCGTGCGCTACCGATGATCGCTCAAGCCAACTTCTCATTGCCAACCGTACGTCCTTCCGTCCTCCCTCCTCTCTTCCCGTCGTGGTTCTATTCAACATCAGCACTTTGTAGAATGACTATGTTCCCTTTTTCGAAACGGTCATTCGGTATCTTGGTGGATTGTTGGCGGCGCATGCGATATCTGGCCATGATCTCTTGCGACAGAAAGCAGACGAACTTGGAACCAAATTAGCCCCTGCGTTTAATACGACGACTGGGTTCCCCGGTTTTGCAGTCGATACCTACAGGTCAGTCCCGATGATATTTTGATGTGGGCATCATCTCTCACACCACCCCGTTCGCCCTTGCAGCGGACTGAATCTTTCATATGGTACCGGAGTATTGGCGGAAATAGCGTCCTGCCAGCTGGAATACGCATACTTGGGCAAAATTACGGGGAAAAAGGAACATGTTAATCACGTAAGTGTTTCCTGTCATACTTGTGGGTGGGGTTGATACAGCTCGCCTACAGGCGTCCGTTATCACTGATCTATTCCATGCCGCAAACCTCAATAAAACCGGAGGGATGTACCCAACGCGATGGAACCTCCATCTGGGCGTACCAGCTAACCGTGAGTCTCTTCTCATTGTCCAGGCATACATTCAACGTATTTGTTCGTAGTTCAACTCTCGGTCGGTGCCCTCGCAGATAGCGGCCACGAGTATACTCTTAAACAATTCTTATTAACTGCACGAACAGACAAGCGTAATCTCGAAATGTGTCAGTCTCTCGCTCGAACCATTGACCACCGATGCTAATAGATCGCATTTACAGATCTTCGATTCACTTCCTATGTCATCAATAACCTACTGTTTCTTACCCCCAAACGGAACCTTCTCTACGTGACCGACGCAGCCATAGTGAAACGTTGGTTGGGTCCTTCCCATAACTTTGAACACCTCTCTTGTTTCTTTCCCGGTCTTCTCGCCCTTGGCGTCCACCTCCTTCCCCTCGATCATCTTGACACCCTCGGCATCAACGCCACCGCACTCACAGATGATCTGCTACCTGCAGATCGCAGAGCCTACGCGCGTCTCTCCGAGTTTAACCTGGCGGACTTGCATCTCTGGGCTGCTGAAGGTATCGCGCAGACGTGTTACTTGATGTATGCAGACCAGCCAACAGGGCTAGGCCCCGAGATTGCACGGATGGACGTACATCCAGACATGGACGCAATACGGTGGATGGATGCGCTGCGTGCATGGAAGAAGCACGAAGGTGGTGTGCGTGGATGGTGGCGAAGCTTCTCTGGACGGGAACGCTCGCCCCCAGGCATTGCCGATATAAAACCGTGGACGAGTTCATTCGCTGAAAACGTGACGGTTGAGATGATGGGCCGACCCCCTGGCGTACGCACGAAAGGCGTGGTGAACACGTTTGGGAGGGATTATATGATCAAAAACTCGGCGTACTACTTGAGACCCGAGGTACGTACCATGTCGGTCCTCGCTGGCGAGCGTACTCACGGCGCTTTTCCCCTTTGCTGGGGTCGGCAGACGATCGAATCGCTCTACCTCCTATGGCGGACGACAGGGGATGTCAAATGGCGCCATCGCGGCTGGGACATCTTCCAAGCCATTGAACGCTACGCCAAGACCGACTCGGGGTACGCCAGCCTCAGTGGTGTCCACACCCCATATCCAGAACAGATGGACTCGATGCCAAGGTGAGTCGACGCCCGAGCTTGCACGCGATAGAACATTCTCTAAACACACCGCTCCGTTTCAGTTACTTTTTATCCGAGACGCTCAAATACCTCTATCTCTTGTTCTCGGACGAAAATCCAATACCCCTGGATAAATGGGTTTTCAACACCGAGGCACATCCGCTGCCCGTGTTCGAGTGGTCGCAGCAAGAGAGGGAAGCATATGGGATTATGTGATGTATTTGGCAGGCACGCGCTGGCGATATTTATACAGGGGTTGACACCTTGTTAACCAGACGATCTCCTAGTGAGACACGTATATTATACCCATCCTAATCCCTGCCTTGTGCCTTAAAACCTTGCAGTTGGAAGTATAACAGACAGATGTCCTGTATTCACTGGTGTTGAAATATTGATACCTCTTGCCTGTAATCCACGAACTCTTGGGGGTTTTATGTCAACCCCCTTCAAGTCTCCCTTCTGATGTGGAACGAACTTGTATAAATGCAAGGATATTATGGCAGAAAAAAGTTCGGATACCGGGAGTCGAACCCGGGGCTGCTGTGATCAGGCCATTGTATCCCTGAAAGACAGCCATGTTAGCCGTTACACCATATCCGACTTAGTGTAGAACTTACTCGTTGAGTCTTGTTATGCAAAATCTACATAACACCCTTGAAGCCAAAGGTTTTTCGGAAGATGATACTCACGCCATCTCTCGTCCACGCAATCCACATTTCGATAACATTTCTCGTTCGAAAGATCATACAACACCCCAACATACGTACATATTTACATGTACATCTCAAACACGGAAAGGGAAAAGATGAAAGCTGGGACCTACATGAAACATTACATACATTTCGCGTGAGGAAAAAAGAACTCGGGTGACATCCCACCAACGGGAAAAGAAAAAAAAGAATTGTCCTTGTCGAACCGAACAAAAGCTGTGACACTGATTTCGTCTTTAGGAAAATGCCAATGCGGACCACGTAGCGGCAGCACCGATCGCCATCGCTGCCGCCGTCTGTGCAACCGTGTACAAGGCCGTCCGAGCGCGTTTCTTGGGTCGAGGGGAATCAAGGATAGGAATTTCAAGAGAAGACGTTTCGCCAACTGGTGAGGGCATGGGAACAGGAAGTTGAGGAACGGGAACATGCGGAACCGACACCTCGGACATAGAAGTTTCGTCCACGAGGGGTGGGCTACAGGTAGCAGGTTCCATGACAATATCCGAAGGCGCAATGGCCTCGGAGGTCTCTTCCTCGTCCTCGTCCACCCGTTTCCGCTTCATAGACATCGAGGACTGACACAAGGTCAAATGATGTCCAACCTAGAAGACAATGAGAAATCTCACCTTGGCTTCGATAGTTACCTCCTTCAATGCATCCAATGCCTCGGCGCGGGCACTCTGAATCGCTTCCATTTTGGCTTCTATTCGTTTCTCAGCGTTTTCTCGCAACGATTTCATCTCTACAAAGTACACATGTCAGCCGTCGACGTGAATGCACAAACTTGAACGTAACACACCAGACACGAGATTGTTCAAGGCATCTTCCATAGGCGTCCCGACTGTCTTAGGCTCTGATACATCCAACCTCTCTCGGAGGCTTGCTACCTGTTTCTGGAGCACAGTCATTTGACCCTGGAGCATAGACAAGGTCGCGATGTTGCGTTCAGCCCCCGTGATGCGGCAGAGCAAGCGCTTTGATTCGGGTTCCAGAATCTCAAAGTGACTCTGAAGATCGAATACTTCATCTTCTGTTAAGGTTTGGCGTGATTTAAGGTCATCGGCAGTCTCCTGCAAAGTAGTGATGCGGTCCTAGAATACACGATCAGAAACAATTTGAGATTACGGCAGTAAACCTGCCTCGACGCTCTTGAAGGACCCTTTGACCTCGGAGTTGACACATTCTGACACAAGTTTGTGTAAAGGCTGGAAAGGAGGTACTACGCGATGTGGCAGAAGTGGTGGCGGTGGTGGCGGTAGTGGATGCGGGGGATGCTGGGCCGACGGTAGGCCAAAGTCGGATGCGATGGAGGTGCTAAACGGCCCGCTAATGGGGAAGAAGGGTGGTGGCGGTGGAAGACGGTGCATCAGCTCGATGAGTGCATCATTGGAGAAAGGGGTGACTCTGGCTTGACAAGTTTGAGTTTGATTGGATGGCAGCTCCGGTGCGCGGTCTAACTCCGACACCGGGGGTACCTCGGGCCGCCGGGTTTCCACTTCAAGCGAGGAGTGCCGGGGAGACTCGGGTCTGGAAGCAGGCCATGCGCCGATGACAGCAGGTTCCGCCGGCTGCTGTACTTCAGAGGGTGGGGATGGAGACGGTGTAGCCATCTCCATCGGAGAATGAGAGCGGGACTTGGAGGAAGGTTCGATGATGACGACAACGGGAGATGGTTGCCGGACAGGATCGGCAGAGGGGGTTGTTCCAGGAGCGTCCTCAAAATGCTCATCCGGTACATCCGAGATGCAAGGCGAATGGGAGGCAGTATTTTGGTAAATGTCTCGGATGAAACTGCGGAACGCCGGAATCTTGACCGCTGCCCTCCCCTGGCCATCCCTAAGGACGGCAGGGACACACAAGTGTTGCTCTTCTACGTCTGAGTCTTGATCTGACTGCGAGGATGCCGCATCAGAAGATACAGAGATGGAGGAAGAAGAATGCGGGGAATCGGATCCAGACTCCACGCAGCACGCAGAGATGAGCCCGTAGCGACCCGAGCTGAGCTTGCGGGGCCGAAAGAGAACTGGACTGAGAGAGCCAAGAAGATTAAGTGGTGGAGTGGACGCGAGGTCCGTAGCAGGTTCAGAAGGCGAGCAACAAGATAACAGCTCCACGCGGACCGTGACAGGAGAGACATGATATGAACCAGCGCCGACTACCTTGCCGAACGTAAGCACATCACCAGTCGGCAAGCGGCTGTTTCGACCTCGGCTTGGAGCATTCGAGGCGTGGTTCCGCCACGCCTCAGGAGGTGGGTTCCATGTCGTGAGTGAAGGTCAACGATATACACCTGTTGACATGATGGCGCATGAGACTTAGGCGCTCACATACACAGAAGATAAAATACGATACCTGACCGCTGTCAGAGAAGACGAGCTTGGCATGCTTCGCACTAACGACCTGGCATGTAAATATGGCATTATGATCATCGTTTTCTCGTCGCATCGACCTATCATCGGATCCCGATTTCCGACCGATGTTCACATAGGCTGAGCGGGCGCGGTAGAAAGTGAGTTCATGAGCGGGTTTCTCGCCACATTTCTCAACATGCAGGGATATTCCTGCGGATGAGAGGTATGAGCAGATTCCTGGGGCGGATAGGGAAAGACGACATGCCCGCGACGGAAGGGTATGCTTCACAGGGGTCGTCCAGGGGCTCTGGTGCTGCGAGCTTTGTCCCGAGGTACTGGACGTCGTCGTCCATGAGTAAGAGTTTCGTATATTTGTGAACGGGAAATTGAGAGGATACTTGAGGGTGAGGGGAAAGAATGAGAAACGGCGAGTGACTGAGTTGTGACTGAATGGCAATGCTTTATCACCTGGCGCACGTCTCCGGTCACTCGACCATTCATGGAAATTATCCGGCTCAGCTCCCCGATACGGCGATACCTCCCTCTGTGACTCGTGTTTCGACATGAGAAATGCGTACATACTAGAGACATAATGTGGGTATGCTAACACCAAACAGACTAGTACCACGAAAAACAGAGTGCCCGAATAAGCCTCACGAACTGTAGTCGGCAAACCAGGGGTGAACGAGGGCACGTTTCGCTGACGGCTCTCAGAACGTAGGCCCCAACCCTTCCCATAAAATGACTCACCTGAGATCCGTTTCGCGGTGTCGTAAGTCAGCGTTCGCTAGGAGAATGCGTCAGCATCGATGCCTCTAAGGGGCGAGAGATAACGACCGACCGACAGCAAGTCGATGCCCATCTCATCGAGGTTGGGCACAATGTTGCGTAATTCTTGTCTAGTCCACTGAGGGAACGTCTCCTTGTAATCGGGTAGTTGACTGATGCCAGGCCAGATTTGCTCGTTGGGCGTTCCCATTATTCTTGTATGCCCATCTCAGCAAAATAAAGAGTCAACGAACGTCATCGAAAACGCACCTGAATATCTTGAAAATTTGGTCGATCTCAGAGTCCCCGGGGAAGAGTGGGTTCCCTCTCATGACCATTTCCGCAAATATACATCCCACAGACCACATGTCGATCGCTGTGGAATAGTGTCTAGACCCGAGCAAGACTTCAGGGGCGCGGTACCAAAGTGTGACAACCTGACATTATAGACCGCCAATGAGGGGAGCATGAGGATGGCGCAACATGCATGCTTGCCTCGTGGGTATAAGTCCTCATGGGTATACCAAACGCCCTCGCCAAACCAAAGTCTGCAAGTTTGAGATTATTACGTTTGTCGATTAGCAAATTTTGGGGTTTGAGGTCCCGGTGAAGGATCCTGTGTGAATGGCAGTACAATAGCCCGGAACTGAGTTGATGGGTGAATTTCTAACATGATCTGTGAGCATCCAGTACCGCAGCGACCAAGGAATGCGGTTTTATGATACATCACGTGACCCGGCGCGTAACCTCTTTCCGTGTTGTCACGATGCAGGGTGATATCGATGCAGGGCGCTGGCCCGCGATATCAACGCGGCAATGTGGCAGGCAAGGGTCCGCCACCGGATTGTGATGATGAAAAGACCCCAACTAATCCATCCAAGGAAATAATGAAGGGACGAGCGCGTCGCTTCTGGACGCATCGATCCACCACGTTTGCGATGCAAGTCAACAAGACACAACGCACCTTGGATATATCGATCGAAATGGGCGTACCGCTCGTATTGGCATGTTCCATATAGCGTTTGAGGTCGACATCCAGGAACTCGAACACGAGATAGAGCTTCTGGTCTGCATGTACAATGTCTAGCAATCTACACGCCGCCCACATTGAGTACACGTGCACATGCGAGTGAAAAAAGCATGCAAAGTAGCCCACCTGACGATATTGTCGTCCTTGAGCTCTTTCAATAGACTAATCTCGCGAATGGCGGTACTCGGGACGCCCTCGTCTTCTGCTTCGAGCCGTATTTTCTTGAGTGCGACGATCTGGTTGGTGGTCACGTCCCTCGCCTTGTAGACAACGCCATACGTTCCTGCACAGGTGTGGCATGAGAGGCGCGCATACTCGACAGCAGAGAACGGTGAAAGGGCTACATACCTTCGCCTGTGGGGTGACCCGAGCCACACACACCAGAACGGTCATTCATGATTGGGCGTGAGCTGAGTGTGCTACGCACCGACTTTCTCGATCTTGGCGTAGCTGAGGGGGTGATAGATCAGCACGGTGTAATACGCGGTATGAGTTGCATACCGATCCATATGATCAGACAGGAGAACCAAGACAGCGGGTGATGATGCGGGTAGGGAAAAAAAGAGTAGACGGTGGTCGTTAAATACTAAGAGGGACCTGGCGGGTCAAGTAAGCCGAACTAGGTGGATCACGTCTCATCACATCGCCACAGCTTCTCCTTTTCCCCGGGTTACACTCAAATATGGAACATCCAAACAAATTCCTACTCGGTCCGGCTCTTCGTCGTCAAGGCCTATTCCC